AAAGGGTCATAGATGAGCAGTCGACAGAAAAAAATCACAAGCGTGTGACTTATGTCTGTTTTGTGACAGAAAGAAATCCTGAAACATTCAGATTTTGTGATATTTATTCCATGTTTTATTGGTTTCCTGCTCATTCTGCATTTCAAAATGTGATTCCGATTCCTTTTCTGCATGATAACACGTGACCGATTCCACACGAGACACAAGCGTGTTCACACCCTTAACATATCAAGCATCCGGGCGAAGTTACAGATGCTGAATTGTCGAATCTCTGGTTCAGGTCCGACGTCTCGTTTTGTCATTAAACACGTATGAACGACTGGGACTGAAACATTGTCCTCCTGTGGCCTCTTGTCAGAATGTTGAACTTTAAACCGATATCGTCGACGTCCTGGTCGACTTCTCAGAGATGTGAGGCCTTGAGACGGCGATGATCATTCGAGGCCTGTTTCCTGTCACACATCCTTCATCCGCACGGTTCTTACATTCGCGTCCTGTTGTCATCTCAATCTAAATCTGCTCTGCACCGGATCAGGACGGAATTTTCCTCCTGTCTGAGCAGAGTCGTACTTTCAGAAAGACTCAGAAACACTTCGCAGCATCCAGTGAAGTGACCCCCCCCACTAAATATACGGAGTGCTGAAGTGTCGGCATGTGCTGAGCGACTGCCGGACACACAGAGGTGAGGCCGCTGTCGGCTGTGAGTCGATCAAATAGCTCGTTGGTTGGAGCTGGAAGCTGATTGGCTGCCAGGGTGCGGAGTATCCTCCTGCTGGACGGAGCCGAGGGATTAAAGCAGCTATTTGGACGCCGTTCCTCAGCTGATGAGTTGAAATATGATCCAGGACTAATCCTCCGAGTCCCCTGCAGCTGTGTCCGCCACCGAGTGTGAAGGACTCATCCAAAGACACTTTCTATATAAATCCAATATCTCTCGGTTGCACACAGTGAATCCACCAGCGCTGCTCCTCGTCCTCCTCAGGAGTTCACCCACTGTGATGCTGAGGCTCCAGGGGAGCGTCTGCTCACGCTGATCACAGGGATGTTTGGTGTCAGTGAGAGCAGAGAGCTTTTTTTTTTTTTATGATCTGTGAAAGCTGGTGTTGAATCCTGGGAAGCAGCTGAAGGTTCAGATCAAAGACTTCACAGCTCGTGTTCAGCGAAACACACACAGACGTTGTTGTTGTGATTGTCAGCGTCACATTCAAAGGTTGCTCGATCTCCTAACTGACCTTCGGTTGCACAGCGATGCTGCTGTTACTGACCCTGATCGTTTGACTCGAGCTATCAGGACTGTGAGGCTTCGTGAGAGGTCAGAGTTCACAGGGAACATTCACGTGCACCATCACTAGCAGTTTGAATCGTACGAGTCTTGGTGACTTAGACAACGTGGACTCGACCCCGACTCCTCTGACTTTGACTCGTCCGTTGAAGACAAAAGACTCGACTCCACTGGCGTCCAGTCATGCGAGTGGTTTAATTTGTCCCAGTGTTGAGATCACCTTTCGGTTTTTCTGTCTCCACTCAAATAGAATGAAACTGGATTATCAGCAGTTGTGGATGAACGTGTGGATTCTGAATGTGAAATGAATAACGTGTGATAACAGAACAAATCAAAAAACATAAAACTGTCAAGCAAAAGTCAGGAAAACCTCTAAAGATCAGAAATCGCAGCATCGAGTATTCTACCATCGTTTACACGCGAGTCCTCATCCGTGTTCTGTCCCCTCAGGTGTGAAGTCTGCAGGCACCATGTCGGACTCTGAGGACGTGTAAGTGGTTTTTAAAAACATCGACATCGACACACAACACGAGTGTCGATCGTTTTCTAAATGTCTCGTATTTCTTTGTGTTTCAGGGATCAGTACGAGGGTAAGAAACATTTAAGTTATTTTAATTTCTACATGTCCTCATCGCTCCTGTCCAGGACCCTCGGGCTCATTCTCTCTCTTTGTCTGTCTCTCGTCTCTTTTTGTTCAGTCTTCGTCTTTTTCAGTCTCTGTGTCGTCATTTCTGTTTATTTTTTGTGTTGTTTGCCTCTTTATGGTTTTTTAAATCAAACTCTTGGATCTTTTTCTCTCTTTTTTTTGGGGGGGGGGGGGTCTTTTTGTGGTTGTTTAGTGTCTTTTTGTTTTTTTGTCGTTGTGTTCCTGCTGGTTTCATGTTTCTTCACACTCGTTCCTCGTCTCTGTGGCTGTTTTCACTCGTCTTGTCTTGTTAAATTCAAAATGATCTTTTTTCAATCTTTACATTTGACCTGTTTGTCTTTCTGGATGTTTTAAATGTCTTGCTCCCTCTTTTCAAGTTGATTCTGTTTCTTCTTTTTCTTTCTGTCTCTCCGTCTTCATTCTGAGTCTCTTTTTTTCATTTCATCTTTTGACGTATTTTTCATCTGTTCCTCTTTTTGGTGTTTTTTTTGTCTGAAATCATGTTAAAAATGAACTCAATAGAATTTACAGATCATATTTATATATATTTAAAGTTTTGACAGAAGCTTTGTGTGAAAACAGACTTGAAAGTGAACTTTGATTGAGAAAATAAGCTTCTTGATGCCGTCGCCCCACAGTGGCGACTTCAATAAATGCACCACGATGTGATTTTAAAGCTGCATGTCTTTCTACTTTTTTCCTTTATTGGAAATAAGTTTCAGTAACATAGATTATGTTAATTTATTTAATTGGGTAAATTGACCCAGATTGACTGTGAATGCGATGAAATGACTCGATGTCATTTGTTTCTGTTATCCCTCCATCTCTTTCTTCCCCAAACCGAAGACGAGGAAGGTAAAGACGACTGAATCGATTCCACATTTCAGATCTTTTTCCACTGTACTAATGTGTCGGCGGCCTGGTTTCACCTTTAATTTGAAGTGTTTGACACTGACACCTGCTTATAATACAGAATAAACATTCACAAGGATTTAAGTTGAGCCTCAGAAGGATTTCTTTCTTAATTGTTGATAAGAGTTAAATAAATGAGTCAGGTGAGTCAGCATTGTCTCCTCAATGAGCCACAGTTGCATTAACACCAGCATTTTTGCACAATATCAATATTGTTCTGCAGATGCTATCATCGTTGAATGGTTTCTCATATTTGTGCAGAAATAAATGTACATGTGTGTATTTTAAATGTTCTGCTAGCTCCAGCTGTCAGTCAAACACTTCCAGGTTAAGGGTTTCTTCTTCTAAACGAGTGATGTTTCAAATCACATGGTCAAGAAAAAAATGTGGCCGAGCTTTTTTGAGCGTTACATTTGTTTTCTTGGCATGTGACATGTTTACACGGTCATCTGTGAATGTCACATCAGTGCAACTGTCATTGACCTCATTCACACAACGGCCATATTTCAAACAGTGGAGCTGGAAACTGTCTGGAGGACAAACCCGGAGTTACTGATCCAAATATAGGAAAATATTCAGAGGGAAGACTGGCTCAGAGAGTTCATGTCACAGTGCGTTTAGAAACAAGCTGTTGTTTCACCAGCTTGTTTCATCTTTATTCAGATTCATTTATATGTTCAACATGACGGGAGTCGAGCCAAAGTTCTCTAAAAACAGGGCGATGAGATAAAAAAGAGATAAAAGAAGTAGAGTAAGTAGAATCTTATGATACGGTCATTAAAAAGATTAAATCAAACAAAGATAAAAACTGTTTCCTGTCTATAAGAAAAAATTTGAACCCTTCATGATTTCAACAAAGAGAATGACAGTGTTGATCTCTGTCTTAACGAGCTGCAGTAAGATTTGAAAAAAGTGCTGATGACTAAAATATTTATGGCCGATTGAGAACTTTACGAAACAGTCAAGTTTAGTTACGCACAACAGTTTCATGAAGATGAAATACCAACATATTTTCAGTTCGTCGTGGCCTTTAACGAAACCTTAACGTCACAAATGTTTATTCATGATGTTAAAATCATAAATACGCTCAGTCGGGGGAAATCAATAATTTCTCCCAGAAATACAGACTTTTGACTTTTTCATGTCAGAACTTTTCACAAAGTTTTATTTTCATTGTTAAAATCACGAATGTTAATCTAGTTTTACCCGGAGGCGAGTGGAACAGAGAACTAGTTCAGACGTGATGTTAAGCATGAATCTGTGTCTGTGATAGATTTCTACCAAATCCATGACATTCAACCCAAGTTAACCTACAAGCATCATATGACGATGAACATTGTTAAAACATTGGATCAACTCAAAACAAATGATTATCTGACAATAAGGAGTTAAACGAGTTTGTTCTTCGGGGAGTTTTCCAGCCCGACAGTTCAATATGGCTTCTGTGTGAAAGGTCCACCGACCTTCTCTCATCATCATCTGTTTCTCTCTCTCCGTTCTCCAGCAGCGCTATCCCTCGCTCAAACTTCCATCCTCTGTGTAACTAAAGTATTCTCTCACTTTTGGTTTCTAATGGCTCTGTAATGTCTGTGGTCTCCATTAACGGCCTTCTCCGACACCCTCCCCCTCCCCCGGCGGTTTGGTGCATGCTGCGTGCCCGTAGCCCAGGAGGAGGTAGTAGAAGTAGAAGTAGCCCCTGAGGCGGAGGCCCAGGTAGAAGCAGAGCCAGAGGTAGAGGCTGAACCAGAACCAGAACCAGAGCCAGAGGAGGTGGTGCAGCAGGTGGTTCATGAGGAGGAAGGTATGTGGCATGTTCACCCTTCTCCTGCAGGACATCCAGCAAAACACATCCTGCTCAACAAGTCACAGTTTTGAGTCTTAAAAGTAGAAATTCACGGTGATTTGACTTTCACGTTTTCCTGCAGTCACAGTGGAACACTTTTAGTCCGTGACGTCAAAATCTGAATTTAAATCTCACAAAGCCAGTTGTCAGGATTAATAAGAGATTAGCAGTCACCTTTAACATAATTACTGAGCGCGTCCTCGGTGCCAAGCAGTTTATTTTCTGCCTGTCACAATGACAGATGCTGTGGCGCCAACTGCAAGACCTCAGTGGTATGTGGAGCAGAAATGTCGCCTGATTTTAGACGGCCACTGTTTTAAAAGCCCTTCGTGTTGGATTCGATTATTTGATTGGATTTCCAGAGGTTTGAGAAATAAAGAAAGAGCTAAATCATCCACACACATCTTTTAAAAGTTTACACAACAAAATTAAAGTTTCATTTACCACAGTAACACAGTATTATTAACAGTCGTCATGTTGTCGAATATACAGAACGATCTCGAGGCATAATTTGGTTAAAATAAAATTGTTTGCTTTTCAAATGTTAATAGTTTTTTTCACGTATCCAAACATCTTAACGATACAAATATAGATAGTTAATTAAGCAAAAAGTTCATTTTAAATTAAGATGACAACATGATATTAGTACAGAGCTAAGCAGTCGTTAGAATGTCGTTCAGGATTACCGGAACTTCTTTTCTTATTTCAGCAAAATAAGAGTTGACTGTTGTTCTTCTGTTTTGGAAGAAATAATATTTAGGCAGTTACTCAACTGAACGCTGGTTTTATGATAAATTGCAGGGGAACGTACGAAAAGAGCAGAAACTCTCATCAAACCAAGTCGGGAATGATCTCGAATGGAACATTTGACGACTCAAAACTTCATTGTCTTGTTGGGTTCGATATTTTTGCAGTTTCACTCATTTAGTTTTACTTTTCAGTTTCACCTTCAGCCCTTTCCACCGGAGTTGCCTCCTCTTCATAACCGCCCAGTACGAAAAAAAAAAAGAATCTGCAGAGGAAACAAAGAACTTGTGAAAGTTTTAAGATTTTAAAACATTTAGAAAAACACAAAACCCATATTTAAACGCAACATGCTAAAGCTAGAGCTGACCACCTCATGGAGTTTGACCTCGTTGCATTTGACCTGAAACACAGAGACACCGACAGCAGCTAAAGTGAATCTGAACATTCCAGAACATTCATTCACTCCCAGAATCTACACATTGAAATGAACTGACAGAAGCAAATGCACAACATTATTACACATCAACATTTTTACAAATTGAAAAGCTAATCCTGTCGGTATTTCCCACAAAGACTATTTCTCCACCATCAGGTCAAAATTTAAACCCTCCAGAATATAAAAATCTATCTTTGTTGTATTTCCATGATATATTTACTATGATAAACCATTTTAATCCCATAAACTCCATTGCTTTCACAGTTGTGACACCTCCTAGACACAGTTCTACAATTATAACACCACAACTGAAACCAGCTTCATGAATATTGCAGCCGCGTCACACACCCATTGCACACACACACACACCGGCAGCATCAGCGTCGAGATGCAGCACAAACATCGTGTATCTGTGTCGCTTCACGCATCACTGTGGCACGACGTGGTCACTGTGTGTGTTGCACATGTTCCAGATGCCTGAAGAACCTTCTGGGGTCTTCGGGCATCTCAAACAACGTCCTTGAACCCTTGAATCACCTCTTGTGTTATCGCTCGGTGTCACACGTGTGTGCTGAACTTCAGTCGTGAATATAAATGTTGAAAGGAAGAAGAAGAAAAAGCTGCGTTTACATGAATCGACTTTCCCGTCTCCTCTGCGGCCTCCTGTCCAAACTGACGTCTCATTTCCTCGTCAGCGAACGTTTCCTTTCGTTCGCTTTGGGCAAACGTCAAGGCCATAGCAGAGAGGATGATGGGTAATGTCAGTCATGTGAAAGCCATTTCTCTTCAGCTCCCTTCAGTCCATGTTTAGCATCTTTCTCTCTGTGTGTAGACGAAGAGTGAGTCTGGCAAACTGCTCTTAAACATTTACGTTGGGGTGTTGTGGTGCAACAAAATCCGCTCCATCCGTCCTGCAGCTCTGCAAACTGCGCATTTGACATAACGTGCAGATGGAGGCGCTGCAGAGGTCCCACGTGCTCGTCCTCAAAGACCCTGAATCAAACAAACTCATATGATTTTATACATTATTATACATTAGATTTCCATCTGTCCTGTTTGAAAGGAAT